AATCACATCAAACAACGCTAAAACCTCGAATCGCACCTCAATTCAAGCCTAATGAACTTTGAACTTTCAAATTCTATATCTTATACCGAAATACATCAAATCAATCCGGAATGACTTCAAATTTTGCACACAAGTCATAAATGACATAACGAAACTATTTCAATTTCCAGAATCGGATTCCGACCTCGATATCAAAAAGTCAACCCCCGGTCAAACTTTCCAAAATTTAACTTTCGGCATTTCAAGTCTAATTCTACTACGGACCTCCAAATAATTTTTCGGACACGCTCCTAAGTCCAAAATCACCATACGGAGCTATTGGAATCATCAGAATTAAATTCCGAGGTTGTTTACACATAAGTCAATATCCGGTTAACTATTACAACTTAAGTTTCCAACATAAAAATTTATTCTTCTAAGCTAACTCCGAAATACCTTAAAACCCAAACCGACAATTCACACAAGTCATAATACCTCGTAGGAAGTTATTCAAGACTTCAAATAATTGAAAGGAGAGTAAATGCTCAAAACGACCATTCAGGTCGTTACAATGACGAAGTTGTTAAGGTACGCAACGCCTCAATGTACTTGACCGAGGTTGCCTATGGCGGCGTCGAAAGTGTGCTAACATGGAGAAGGGGCTATGCAAGATTAAGACGTGGGAGCAATTCAAGAAGGAGTTGAAGAAGCAATTATACCCGATGAATGTGGTGTACGAGGCTAGGTGGAAGCTAAGGGAGCTCCGACAGATGGCCACAATTTGGGAGTACGTGCGCGAGTTCATTTCCTTAATGCTACAAATCATGTCATTGTCCAAGAAAGATTCCTTCTTCTACTTCATCGATGGGTTGCAAAAATAGGTAAAGCAGGAGTTAAGAAGACATCAAGCAGCCAACATGGACGAGGCCATAGGGGTAGTCGAGTCACTCGTTAACTTCAAGATGGAGCCTGCCAAGTCCAAAGAAGGCAATGCCGAGAGAGATAGGGGAGATCATGACAAGGACAACGGGAAAGGCATAACCGAGATATACAAGGGCAATGGCAAGGGGCCATCCCATAACGGACAAGGATCCAAGAGAAACGCCAAGGGGCCGGAAAACATTAGCGAGTATGTGCCTAAGGGAGGGTGCTACTTCTGTAAAGGATCACATCGAGCAAGTAAATGCCCAGAGTTGGGGAAGCTTATAGCAATGATCGAGAATTTTGCTCTGGCACACAAGGGGGACACAGGAAGGACCGCCTGCATTAGGGAGATACGCTTGGAATCTAAGCCTAAAGTAGGGGATTCCAAAGCCTATATTGGCGCCATGCAAATGGAGCATGGTACGTGTCAATGCTTTGTGCCGAGAGCGGCACAAAATTGGGTGGGGGAGAGAGTCATGACCCGCCACATCATCATGCCACGTATGTGCCATTTGGCATATATTAACACCATGTGGAAGCTTACATATGAAATAGACTAGCACACGTGGGAAGGTTCTAGAGAAATATGGAGATTTCTCATGGAAGACTTTATAACCCTATGGAATTGCTAGGAAAGTCCTTAGAAGATTCTAGTTATGTAGAATATTTTAGAGAAGAGACTTACTTGTAAATAATAAGGGCCTTGTGTAATAGTTATTATTTACTCACTAGCCCCTATGAAACTAGTATATAAAGGGGGTTATCCATTTGTATCTCATCAAGCAAAACAATCAAGTTCTCTCTAATATAAAAGGTTCTTTTGGCAATTCTTCTGTATTCTAACATTCCCTTAGCGATCTTTAGTGTAGTAAGCCTAACTTGGCATAACAAGAACGTGAGCAAGTTGTCAAATGCCGCACTGCGCTTAGTTGAAGACTAAGTACGTGACACAACTCTAAATAAAGAAATAACGTTATTAATAAATTGACAATTATTAACGTTGACCACGTAATATCCCATATATTATAGTTTCTCTTTATTTCTGTTGGATTACTATGACCATATTCTGTATGTTTTCCTTCCTTCAGGGACTTAAAATTATCTGTCCAAAAATCACATTGGTGGTTTGAGAACATATCATGGAATATTTGGTTTTTTTTATATCTTTCCTCTGAGATATTAAATCGATATTCCACCTTCATTTTCAAAACGTAACCTCACAATCTAGCCGGAGGTGGAGTCAATATTTTACCTTTATGAGTTTTAAATATTAGAACGATGATTTCAAGTGCTTTCAAATTTTGTTATATATACATATCTAGTAAAAAAATTAAAAATAAATATACTATTTAAACAAATGATATCGGGTTCAGCCAAATTTTTATTTGGCTTCTAGCTCCTCCCCGGAATCTAGTGATTGATAAATAATAACATGATAAATGGTATAGTAGTTTTTCTCTAGAAAACTTACTTGTTTATCCACCTAAATTCTAGTGCTTTTTCATATACTAGCGGAAGTAAAGCCCGTGCTGCCCACATGCCCAACATTGCAATCTATATATTGTGTTGAAAGATTATACTCGATTAACTGGTATTCCCATAGACCATATTGCATAAAGTTTTCTTAGTTTTTATCAATGTCTCAAGTATTAGAGGAAATTCTATAAAATATTAACTGCTTAGGTATGTTTTGTCTATATTTTTAGCTAATGAATATTTACTCTTTGAAATATTCTTATGTCGTCTACTTTCTTTAGATTGAACATTATATTTCGATTGACATTTAATTTATCTTAGCTAAATTTTTTTATAAAGTTATTATATTTAAATTTCGAGTACGATATTAAAGATAGTTGTAAATAATAAGTGAGTGTAAGATATATTTTTTGAAGGAATATCAACAGAAATTTATACCATTTCTTAATTTTTTAGGATAAGCAAATCAGTTTCAAGTATTAATATAAATATACATATCACTTGCTACTCAAGAAGCTACTTAACTAAAATATTGTACATATTTGGCTTTTTTCACATAATATAGATATTCTGGTCCATTGAATTTAGGGCAAATATAATAAATACAAATTAAAATAATAATCAAATTAAATTAAGAGTAATTTCTAACTAATAACCAATATGCGAACATAGATGGGATTTGAAGCAAAATATAACAATATTTTAATTTAGAGCTTCACAAGAAATTTATTGGAGAAATAATTTCCTTTTTATAGTATAATGTTAATTTCATACCATATATAAGCATGGAAATAGTGAGAAGCACAAAAAAGGAAAAGAAGGAAGATAAAGCCACATAAGACATGATGGCAAGAAGAAAAAGAAACAGAGCACATTTTAATATGAGAAGCCTACTAATAGAGATACAAAATATATACTATAAGAGTAAGATAGAAAAATGAAAAGCACAGTATCAACCCAGTAAAACAACTGAAAATATGTGGGGCCTACATGGAAGTTTCAAGATAATGAGCCATTAAAATGCCTCAGACGTTCACGTTATTTACTAAACTGTGCAATGGCATTTAACGTAAAGAATATGCATAAAAGGGGCAAATATTTTCTCTGTAAAGCAGGCATGTTCTTATATAGGAGAAAGTTACCTTCATATGAGTATTATCAAACTCAAATAGCCAAATAAGGGCATTTGGTCTAGTGGTATGATTCTCGCTTAGGGTGCGAGAGGTCCCGAGTTCAATTCTCGGAATGCCCCTCATATTTTATATTTTTTCCCATTCCTCCCCCCCCCCCCC